AGGGAACCTAAACTGACTTGCAGTGAAGGTTGAGACAGGCTTGGTGATGCCATGGGGTTGTGTGAGTGGGGACATAATCTGCTTTAGGAAGGTCTTCCCTCTCTGCTTGGAGAGCTCAAGAGTTGGAAAGGACAGAGGCCACTGGAAAGAATGAAACCTAGGAATCAAAGTTCCTACAGAGAGGGGGGAGCAGGGTTCCTTTTCCAGATGTGCTATTCAATTTGCAGTCGAGAGACCCGTGGGCGGCTGGCATTATGTCACCCTCTCCTTCCAGCACATTTCAAAGCATATTTCTAAACAACCAAATGCAGACGGGAGCTTGGGTGAGGCCAGCTGCCTGCTGAGAGACCACACACCCCACCTACACCTCTGTCTGCTGAAGGGTGACAGACACCCAGAGAGAGCAGGAGATGCCTACATCTTCTTGGGGACAAAGCCAGGTTGCTGCCCATATGAAAGCTATCAAGAAGAGGGAAAAGGAATCCTTAAAGTCTTTAGGATTTTTGCCTGATCTGGGTTGGTTCTCTCAGCTACACCATAGAGCGAGCTGCAGTGAGCAAAACTCTAAGAAGCATAAAGATTAAAGGAAACAGGTTCTCATTCCATCCTTGCCTGGTTGAAGCTTCCACCTGAGCAGGGACCTACAATCCCTTATATATCAGTTTTCTTTTCACTGCTGCCTAGACTCAAAGCCGGTGCCACATATTTTTGGCTTTTGTTATGGGAGCAACTACTCCTGCATAACAACCAAAAATTCAAAGGTGTCCACCTGTAAGCATTTATTGTTTGAGTGGCTGTGCATTGGCTGAGGATCGGCTATCTCAGCTGCGCGTCTAGCTGGCTCGGTTCCTGCACGGCAGGTAAGGTTCTTGTCTGCTCTGTGTGTATTCATTCTGGGCCCTGTGTTGAAGGGGCAGCAGTTATCCAGGAGACGTTCTTATAGTGCTTATGGCAGAGGTACAGGGGGCAAGGTCAAGTCCATAAGCATATTCCAAGCCCCTGCTTGTGTCGTGTCTATTAACAACCCATTTGCCAAAGCAAGTCACGTGGCCAAGCCAGAAGTCAGTGAGGGAGTGAGGTAGCATATGTTACCTCTTTGGGAAGGAACTAAGAAGTCACATGATAAAGGCACACATACCGGGAAGGGTGATGATTGGGACCCATATAAGCTCTCAGTCTAAGGCAAGAGACAGATTCTATCGTTAGAGAGCTTCACCTCTGGTGGGGAGGTGAGGAGAAGGGGTACGAAAAATACATAAAATCAACAAAAACTTCCAGGTGCAGGCACTGCACTTTGGGTTGTGACATCTTTGTAAAGCACAGTAACTTGTACTTTACAGCCCCAGTAACGTGGGAGACCAGGATGACTAAAGGACGTGGGCTCTGAAGTCAGGCCTGGCCTAAATCTGAGCTCTACCCCTCCATATCTGAATGACCCTAAGCAAGTTACCTTCCCTAAGCTTTCTCTAAACCTCAGTTTCCTCATCTGTAAAATGGGGATAATAATGGTGCATACATGTGGGATATTATAAAACTATGTGCCTGACACATAGTGCTTAAGAAATATCGATTATTCATATCATTATTGTGTATTTGTTAATATCTAATATGGTTGGCAGAAAGCAAGAGGAAGACATAATAAAATAAATTTGATTGCTTCTAGCATAGAACGTACTATTTAAAACACTTAAGAAATCTATCCATGTAGCCAGCTGCTACTAGAACAGCAGAAGCAATAGGAAGGGAAATCACATGGACTGGATACTTACCATGGCCCACTGTGGTACTCCATGCCTTGTGTATATCCTCTTGTTTAGCATCATTAGAGGTAATTTGAGAACAACTTTAAGCTTTTCTTGTGATCAAATACAAAGCACCATGGAAGTCTGGGCCTAGAGACAACACGTAGGCATAATTCCAGCACAGCTTCCCTGTGCTCACTGTTTAGAAGTATTAACATTGAGGCTCTGCTGTTAAAGTGCTTTGTGCACAACCTCTTGTGCAGGGCTGAGAACGTGGCTCATGGTGTGGGTTATCCAGAGAGTGACACCAGCCCTCACTCCACGTTCATCTCCTGCCCTCTTCTAGCAAACCCTCAAGAGTGACCGAGACTCCTGTCAAAGACCATCGGTGCTCATTAGACTAACAATGGGGTTAGCACTGTTTTAGTGAATGACACTTCCCAGGGTCTCTTATAACCAAGGACTAATTTTGGTGTGAAGAGGATCAGGGTCACTTGTAAGTCACTGGTGCCACATTCTGCACCCTTAATGAATGGAACCCCCATTGACAGGCTCTTCCCTAGTCTCTCCGACCGTGCTCCCTTCTGGGAAATTTTCTCTGTACCCAGCATTTGCTCCCTTTTTTCTGATGTTGGATAAGTGCCCCAGGGAGGCTTGAAGTCAGTCACTTGGCACCTGGGCCATGGGGCTGAGGTGGTCGGTCGGGTTTGCGCAGAGCCTCCCTGTGACCAGCACCCCTCTCCTCTGCCCACAGCCATCTTGAGTGAGCTCTTACAGAGGGAGAACCGCGTCCTGCACTTCTGGACCTTGAAGAAGCGGCGGTTAGACCAATGCCAGCAATACGTGGTGTTTGAGCGCAGCGCTAAGCAGGTATGTCCAGAGCATTCCCTGGCTTTGTCTCAGGTCTGGGGAGTATACAGAGGCCCAGATGACCAAGGCTCAAGACAGTCCAGAAGAAGTCCACAGCAGCAGGCAGATTGGAGGTGGGCGGTAAGGATGAAGAGAGGAAAAAGAACAAGTTGAAGCCTCAGCGTTTACCAGGCACTCTGTTCTGAGTTTGGTACCAGGAGCTATGAGGAGATGCTGGGTCACTCACTATGCCCCTAACGCACAGATGATAGCGTCCCCCAGTCTACTGGAGGTGACTCTCTCTTTGCTAGTAGGATGTTCATAGTCAGGGGAGGGCTCATTCATAAAAACAACCTGAGAGCCACATACCAATGGAATCATGCCAGCCTTTCCATAAACCTTCATTGTAGTACGGCATGTTTCCCTACTGACAGTTGCCTTTTGGGGGCCTTGTGGGTTGTTTCCTCCCATAGGCACTGGACTGGATCCAAGAAACAGGTGAATTTTACCTCTCAACACATACCTCCACTGGAGAGACCACAGAGGAGACTCAGGAACTGCTGAAAGAATATGGAGAATTCAGGGTGCCTGCCAAGGTAGGAAGCATCCCGAACCCCTCCCCATATCCACCCAGCACTCCCCATCCTAGCCAATTTCACATTACAGAAGCAAGAGCAGCCCCTGTAAGCAGAAATGCTTGGCCACAGTGGCAAGGGGAGAGCATGTTTAGTATTGTCTTCTTAGGAACCTGAATACCCAGAGAATTGCAGCTGCTCGGCAGAGCAGCTGTATGCAAGAAATCAACTGCTATACACTGTGCTTCCAAATACTCATCTTCATGCTCCAAGTTCTGGAATCTGCTGTATTCTTTCAGACCAAATAAAGAAAAGGGGTATGTTCATGTCAAAATGTGCATGCATGTGTGAACACCTGCACATATCCACATATTCTTAAAATTTGAATGGCTTCAGAAGTCTACTGTATGGGAGGGGCCAATGACTATCTGTGGGTTCACAAAGCAGGTGAGCGTTTTATTTCCTAAGCTATTTCCATCTGGCCTCAGACCTGCTAATGAGCCAGGCTGGGTCTCTGGGGAGCAAAATAGGCACAGGTGCACATATCCCTGACACACCCATTCACCCTGAGGGGGAGGCGACACTGTAATAGGAGGGAATCTGTTTTTTACCTGTTTTTACAGCCAGGGTTTGATCCAAGGATCCTTGGGTTTCGATGAAAATCTTATCTGTCTCAGCTTCCTCTTTGTAGCATCCTCGTCCCTCACCCTAGGCTCCTTGCCGTATAGGAGCCTTTCTTGGCATCACTGCTGCAAACAGCAGATGCTCTTCCCAGGTGGAGAGCTGCTTCGGTGGGGGCCAAAGGGGGAACATATTAATGCCCCATCCTATCCAGAGATCCCTCTGACACTACAGCAAATGTTCCTCTAGTTTGGTGTGACAAAAGTAGGCCCTTTGCCCCATTCCTGAGCTGATGTTTCAGAAGCACCACTTTATGAGTGCTACACTATGGACTCTCAATATTGGGGAGCCTTCCCTTGCATCTGCATCCTTGTGAGCTTTGGGCCTTTTCACCCAATGTGAAAAGCCGGGAGCTCAGATAAGACACTCATTTCAATACCAGCTAGAGCAAACAGCACAAAGAAGGCAGCAGATGCACTGAACCCTTTTAAAATCCAAATGAAAGTGGCTTTTGAATTAACCAGTTTGGGTCTTTCTGCCCCTCTCCAAATAGTGTCAGTAATGAACCACTCATAGGCCGAATAAGTATCACATCTATTGGTTGTTCCTATCTACATAGAATGGATCGCAGCAGATGCCTAAAACTTCTTAGGATCAGAATTTGTCCATAACCAAAGCAGAAATGTGAAGAATTATTCAGTCAATTTAATTCACCCTTCCTTTACAACCTTCTTCATATCTTTTTCCTCTTTTGCATTCACATTGTTACCGTCTGGGGCTACAGTAGCTTCCTAATTGGTTCCATGCTTTAGGTCTTTCCCTCCTTCCAATCCATGCTCTCCATTGCTGTTCATTTTTAAAACGCTGCTTTGGTAGTTACCACCCGGCTCAAGAACTTTGGTGATTCCCCAGTGCCTTCAGCTTAACACTCCACACCTGCTGTGACTGTACCACCCTACCTCCCTGCCTTTTCTTCAATTATTATTTTATGCAGGTTTTATGCTCCAGCTGAATGGATGTATCTTCTTACCCTCTGAGAGATACATCATATACTTCTGTGCCTCTGTGCCTTTTCCATACCATTTCTCTGCCTAGAATATTCTTCTCTTCCTTCTAGTTTGTGCTTTTTATTTATTTTTATTGTTTTTAAAAAAATTTAGAGTCCATTCTGTTGCCCAGGCTAGGGTGCAATGGCATCATCACAGCTCACTGCAACCTCCAACTCCTTGGCTCAAGCAACCCATCCACCTCAGCCTCCCAAAGTACTAGTATTACAGGCATGAGCCACTGGCCCTAATTTGTGCTTTTTAAAAGGAGCTCACCTTTCCACTCCAGTGCCTGCTCTTCTATGATCTGCCTACATGCCAGGATATGATCTGTCCCAGCCCTACTCTACAGCCCTTGCCTGTATAACCCGAAAGGCACCTGGCATGGACCATCTGATCTTCAGTAATCTGTGTGCAGTGTTATCTCCTATATGAGACAGGAAGATCCTGAAGGAAAAGAACCACCCTTTATTCATCCTGTGTTCCCCAGGTTACCTGAAACTATCTTGTGCATTGAAGGGAGGCTACAACCATTTGTGAACATAAAGAAAAGAAGTTTGGGTAGATTTCAGCAACCCCCCCCCAATCTATATTAAATATGATTCTTCTACTTTGGCTCTCTATGTCCTCTCTCCCTCCCAACTTCACTATTTCTGCCCCACCCCAGTCCCACTTCCCGGAGACAAGCCCGTTTTAATCAGCCATCTTTGGTTTCAATCTTTATAACCAACAAAATGAATTTGAAAAGGAAACTAAATTGACCTTGAACGACAAGAGAGTAAATATGGTGGCCCTTATGATTGAATAGAGCAGCAGAATATATTGAATTATTATACTCTGCTCCAAAGAAACAGATCAAGTAGAAGAAACACTAAATATAAAATGATGCTTTCTATATAAAAACCCACAAATGTAAGAATAAAAATGAGATAAAAATAGTTTGAGTGGGGATAAAAGGAAAACAAAATTTTCATGTTGTGGCTCTAGACAATCCTATTACAAGACTACAAATGATATTTTTCTACTCTGGGTTTCAAAGTGTATAAGGGGTCAAGGCACAGTGATGGGAAAGCTTCGTAATCTTGACATTTGGGAAGAACTCCATATCTTCTAAAAGTGAAACATATTTTTAGATTCTTTTGTTTTTCATTTTTTGCAATTCAGTGGTTTTTACTATAATTCACAAGGTTGTATAACCGTTGCCACCGTCTAGTTCCAGAACATTTTCACCACCTCGGAAAGAAACCCCATCCCATCAGCAGTCACTCCCCAGTCCCCTTCCCCTCAGCCCTTGGTAACCACTAATCTACTTTCTGTCTCTATAGATTTCATACAAAAGAAATCATACAATATGCAGTCTTTTGTGACCAGCTTCTTTCCTTTAGCATAATGTTTTCAGGATTCATCCATGTTGTAGCATGTGTCAGTACTTCATACATTTTTAGGGCTAAATTACATTTTATTGTATGGATACACCACTTTCTGTTTATCATTCATCAGTTGATGGACATTTGGGTTGTTTCCAGCTTTTAGCCAAAAGCTATAATAATGTTGCTATAAAAATTTATGTACAAGTTTTTTGTGAACATGTTTTCAGTTCTCTTATGTATATACCTGGGAATGAAATTGGCTGGGTTATATGGTGTCTCTATATTTAACTTTTTTTTTTCTTTTCCTAAGCTTTATGCTATTTTTTTTTATTTCAGCATATTATGGGGGTACAGATGTTTAGGTTACGTATGTTGCCCTTGCCCCCCCCAAGTCCGATATATTTAACTTTTTGAGGAACTGCCAAACTGTTTTCCAAAGTATCTCTATCATTTTACACTCTCACCAGCAGTGTATGAGGGTTCCAATTTCTCCATATTTTCACCAATACTTATTATTGTGTCTTTCTGATATAGCTATCCTGGAGGTTATAAAGTGGTATTCATTGTGGTTTTGGTTTGCATTTGCCACTGATTACTGATGTTAAGAAAACACTTTTTTGAAGTGGTAATTTTATCTCTGAAATTAAAAAAAGCCATGAGATAAACTGGACTAAATTATTCTTAACAAAAGAGAATTAAGCAGTAATGAAAGTGGACCTGAGCTTTCGCTGAACTAAATTATGTCTTCTTGGGATTCAGATAACAAGGAAAGGGAACACTGAGGTTGTCAAACAGGTACTTTAGACCAGGAAAAGTGAAATCTAAATAGTTCAGATAAAAGATGGGCATGAGATTTTTAAGAGGAATATAGCTCATATGTGATGGAAATGTTTAAGAAATTTAATTTTTCACATGTAATGACAATCCTCTGTGGAGTGAATATGAGGATGTATGTCAAGAAACATGTCCCCCTGCACAAGAGCTCATGTCTACAAAAGAACCATATAATACATACGAGGAATACCAGTAATGAAAGGCAAGTATGGAAGATTATAACAAGATTTTAAGAATAATATCAAGAAGGCTAAATCTTTAAGATTTGTAAAATTTGCTAAAGACAAAGGGATTTTCAAAAACTTTATTCCAAGTAAGGCTCACTGATTAGGGGAAGATGGTATGATATAAAGGAAGGTAGGAAAAGAGAGGGGGAAGGAGAGAAAGGGAAGAAGGGAAAGAGGAAAAGAGGAAAAATAGAATTACCAAACCTCTTTTTTTTTTTTACCTCTTTCTTTCCCAACAGACAATATAGATTTCAGGTATAAAGGGCAGAAGGTACATTAGGGGACACATGAAGCCAAGACAAGTGAGCTGTCAGTTCCAGGTTTCCGGACACAGATGAATTATAGTCCCCAAAGTTTCCCTTTTGTTCACAAGATCATGTTCATCCTTCTGAACCTATTATTCAAGAACTGCTACAGTCTAACCCCCATTTTGTTAGTCTATATAAGTTACTGTCTTTGGTGGCAAGATTTGAGTTCCAAACTTCCTTACTTTGAAAAGTGGAAAAGATATTGTATAGCTATGTGTGGAAATAAAAAAGATCGAAGCTATGTGGCTGGACCTCCCAGGAGCCCAGAAAAAGCTCAATGACTCAGCCCTGTGGGAAGAACAAGAGATATGGCATAGTCTCACCTGCACAGATGAAAACTGGGATGTCACCCAAGCAGCTTAAGCAGCCACAGTATCTGGCCATCTTCTTGGAGCAGTGGATCAAGGATCTCTGTAGTATTTCACCATTATTATGATTCAGCTTCCTTTGCTCCTTCCTCTCTGCTTTCTATGTTTTCTCTTCTACTCTGCAACCAGCCATCCAGATCCCTGTCTCTGCAGTTCAGATCCCCAGAGAAACAACCTAAATTGACCTAACATGTTGCCACTGTCCCTGTTTAGACCGAAGTTTTAGGCCAGGATACCTCAGAAGTCACGGGCTGTAGGTTAATGGGCTGCTCTCATGGGATATATTAATATTTTTACCTCTGATTTCATAAGCTGTGGCCAGGCATTTGGCAAGTCACATGGTGCCACCAGAGTCACTCATGTGTAAGAAACCATTTCAGACGGCTCCCAGTAGGGGCCGTGGCTACGATTGGTATCTCAGTGGGCTTGTCTGGTTTATAGGCCAAATTTATCATCTAATTCTTCCCAGTATAAACCCTCAACTCTTGCTGGTCTAGCTTAACTCACCTCCAAACATAAGATTTGCTCATTCATTCACTCATTCGTTTATTCATTCAACATTGACGTACCAATGAATAAGATACATCACTTACCTTTTAGGAGTTCATGGCCTAATGAAGGACACACGAATAACTCACTGTGAAAGATGCTAAAATAGAGGCATGTATGTGGTACTGTGGGAACACTAGGAAGGGCATCTCCCCCTCGTCTTGTGGGAAGGAAAGGAGATGAAAGAGAGCCCTGTGCATTGAAAGTGAGGATGAGCAAAAGCCCTCATCACAGCAGATGGGACATGTGACACGCAGTTTAGGGGCATGTAGCACGGTGGGGGCGGGGCTGCTGCAAGGGTAGGTGGGGCCCCATGGGGAGGGGCTCATCTACACTGCTCAATTACTGTCTCTCTGCTTCCCCAGACCCCATGCATACTTGGAATACGCTTGGTCACAAACCATTTGCTTTATTGACTCTGAATCACAGATTTGATGCTTTAGGATATAATTCCCTCTGATAGAGCTA